TTATTATTTAATATTTACATGACGGACTTTTCTGCAGAAACTCAAGACGATGTTAGGAAACTACAATATGCTGATGATTTATTTTTGTATATTTCTTGCAACTCGCTTGAGGAATGCATTCACAAAATGAAGTGTTCGATCTCAGGGGTCTCAGAATGGATGAGGTCCAACCACCTAAACCTTTCCTTGATCAAAACAAAGGGTATCCTGTTCATCAGGCACAGAAAATTCCTTTACCCTCAAGAAATTAATATGGGGAATTGGATCTGTAAAATATACGATAGTGTGAAAATTTTAGGGGTTACCTTTGATAAAAAGATGACCTTCCGGGCGCTGATCATAAAATGTGAAGTAGGTAAGAACATCATTAGAAGATTAGTTGGGACTGATTGAAGAGCTCACCCAAGTTCATGTTTGGCCATCTACAAATCCATAATTAGATCTCATATTGATTACGGATACATCATTTACGGAGGAATCTCAACTAATGTACAAGGATTGTTAGATAAGGCTCAACTCTCGGCTTTAAGATTGTGTTTGGGAGTTATAAGGTCAACGCCTCGCATTGCCGTTTTAGCAGAAGCCGGGGAAGCTCCATTAAATATAAGGAAACACATATTAACCAATAAATTTTTAATTAAAAAATTCAACTCGGATTCAGCTCGAATCCCGAAGCAATTGAAAGATTTAGCTGATCTGCATTTTAGAGCAAACTATTGGAAAAACAGACCTACACCTCCATTAATAACTGGATTTTATAATTTGAAACCTCTAGAAGACATAATAATTACAAATGATAAAATTCCGTATCATAGTCATTCTTGGAAATACTCATTTCCCAAGAAATATATAGGGTTGAATGATTTCAATTATACAACACATAATTCTAACAAAAATATAATAAACTGGGAGTTTGACAATTGGTTAGGTACGGAATGGAAAGATTTTACGGTTATCTACACTGACGGTTCCTAGTTAGAAAATAAAGTTGGATGTGCTGTGTATGTACCTAATAGAGATAAACCTTTACAATTCAATTTACCGGGTTTTGCCTCAGTCTTTTCGGCAGAACTTACAGGTATTAATGCTGCCTTAGACTTCGTTATACAAGAAAAGATTTCAAAAACAATAATCCTAACTGACAGTAAATCTGCACTTCTGGCTCTAAACCATCCTAAACAAAATTGCAATTTTTTAATATTTGACACTATCCACAAAATAGAAAGCATCTTAGCAAATAAATATGAGTTCAAATTAGTATGGATGAAAGGGCATTCCAACATTCGTGGAAACGAATATGTGGATGGACTTGCAAAAGAAGCCTGTTTATCAGTTTTTCCTTCAAGAAAGGCTCCTGCGACTGATCTTAAAAGCTGGATAAGGAAACAAGGATTAAGGTTATGACAAAATGAATATAATATGGAAGGCAGAAAACGAACCTTATTTAAATTTTGCAAACCAAAAGTGTCTTTCAGTACATGGTTTGCCAAATCCAGGTTTAACAGAAACAAAATAACCATTATCAATCGTATTAGATCTGCACACACATTTTGCAAATCTCATCTTTTTAGAATAGGTATGGCAGTAGATCCCTTCTGTTCGTGCGGTTTGGAAATACACAATCTTGACCTTGATCTTCTGGAAGTGCAAACTCTATGCTAGTCAAAGAACATCCCTACTAGAAGAACTGTATAAATATAATTTTATTTTTCCTATTAACACCACAATAGACTTTTCCACTAATGATGAAAATATATATAAAATTTTTGTTTATTTTTTACAAAAATGTAACATTAAATTATAGTTATTAAGTATTAGTTATTAAGGTTTTATGAATTAAGTCACAATCTTATGTTGTAAACAATTTGTAACATATGTATATTTCTCTGAAAGTTATAAATTTGTAAAATATTATTTTGTAATAAGAGGCTAAATGACCACACGGTCAAATGCCATTAATAAAATAAAAAAAAAATTTAAAACAGAAGAGGCGTTCGAGTTTCTGAAACGCCATCTTCGACCGAGCGAACGTGCACGCTCTGCAGGGGCGGCCAAAGGGAAAAAAACAACAATTTCAAAAGCGGCAATAACAAAAAGTGGTCGTAATAAATAGCTGTCGCATTAAACGTGTACTGAATTAAAAGGCGGCCAACTCATTCGTTGCCGTATTGAAAGTCCGCTGTATATATCTAAAAAACCGCCATCGTAAAAATCAGCCAAAATCGGCCGCATTTAATGCGAGATCGAATCAAAAACAGGCAACTCTAAGCTCTGTTCACAAATAATTTTTAAGTGTATAAACTTGGTGTAAGTGGCAAGTTGCGTGAACTCTTCAACATATGTAAATAATCCACTTAAATATAAAAAAAAATATTAATTCAAGAGTACATTGCAATGTGAAAAACTATCGCAATTCTTGCCTGTTCATGTTCGTTTGTTAGGTGTGAATGCACCTTCATGTGCATTCATACCATAGAACATCTTTTGACATTTTTGTTCCTGAGAAATGTATGGGCACTGGCAGTCCATGTATATAAGGTCTATGGTTAAAACAGGTAAAATAATTGGAGGGAATTGGCAAAGCGGGCGCTGAGGATCCCTGGTAATAATGTATATTAAATTATGAAAAATGTAATTTAAATATTATAATTACTAAAAACCTATTAAAATATAATACAAAATTATAAAAATTGTAGGCAACATTATCGGAACAATTAAAAAGAATCCAAGGTAGTATTGTACTGTTACCGCGGATACTATATATTAATTTTTTCTGAATTTGTTGTACCGTTTAAAAGACTCCAATTTCCAATTTAGTGTGGAAATTGAGACTCATCATTTTATTTAAAGCAGTTAAGAACATTTAACATCACTCATATTGATGTATATGCATTTGGTGGTGTGGAGAGTAATTTAAAAAACATACTTATTATTTTTAGGTAAACTGTATTTATTAGTAGAGGATTGTAAAAAATTGTAGACGTGGGTACAGGACAACGTCTGTCGGATCCTCTAGTATATATATTAAAATTTAATTTATTTTTTTATGTAATTTATTTATCGACATCCAGGTAGAATTTTCCCAACGTTGTATTCTCCTCAGGAAATTGTTTTCTCCATTCGCCTTTAAAGTATATGACGTTCAACAGCACCATAAACATCCGCTGGAGCAAAATAAATTTGTGAATATGTGATCAAATAGAAATCAATTTTATTAAAAATTCACCACCTACCGTGGTTGACCAATTCTGTAATGTGTCCCCTTGTAACATTGGCGACCCACTGATTCATAATGGCAGCACTATCGTATTTGGTGACAGTACCATCACTGTTATTTTTATTTATTCCATTTGTGAAATCTATAGACACGATATCCGAGTCGTAGAACATTTTGGCAATCGCGTTGAAGCGCTGCCTTGGCTGAATCATGTGGGAAATGTAAATCCTGGTGTCGAAATCTAGATGGTAGGCAGGATTCTTGGCCTGGAGGAATAAATAGTAATAAAAATATAAGTAATACTAACAATGTTTGAATGTATTCAACCTTTAGTGAAGCTATAATTTTTTTTGCACGTTCCCTGTTGCTCTGGTAACTATCAGGAAGGGAGAGTAGTCTCAAAATTTCCAACTTTTGTCTGATATTTTAGCCTGCAGTAATATGAATTTGAGAAATATATAATTATCTTTACGGGCGTAAAAAAGCTAAAGTTATGCAACGTATATTTAAACAAGATTTTAAATTTATGTATAGCATAGTATTACAGTGTGTATATATTTACTTGCGTTCTTATATATACCAATAACGTTTTAATGTTTGTGTATGTGTGTATGTGTTTCGACATATATCTAGTATGGTATTTTCACATTTCTAAAAATAAATTTTTAAATTTTCTATATTTTGCAAATTGGTTTTATTTTATTATGAACACCATTTAAGCTGTTTGAAGAATATTTTTATAATTAACAATTGTATACGTAATTTTGAATTGTGTAGTTTATTATATTATGATCGCAGTAAATTTAAATTTGAAACTTGTTTAATAAATGAAAATTTTGTTTAAAGTTTTGTTTCATTGTAAAACTTATACTAACTGATCAAATCAATATGTAATCACATAGATTACTGTACTAAATTTTTTATAAAATTAGTCTTAAGTAGTTATAAAATAATTAATTATTGAAATACACATGTAAAATTTGTAATGATCAATTAAAATAATCATAAAATGTAAAAAATAGTATTTATTATATCTTATTCATTTAATTGTTTTTCAACTTTGCAAAGGAGTGGTTTGTTTTCACTAGATAATTCAAATTGCTTATTTTGTGTTTTCTCACAGAATGTCATTTGATTTTGATTATTTAAAATAAAGGAAATTTAAAGAAAAATGTAATATTGGCTTCACGTGTTGCAGGAATGTAAAACTAAATTTTATATCAAAATTTAAAAGCAATTCCACTAAACTATTATGATTTTATTAGAAAATTGCTTTTGTTGATAAATTTCAAAAGTATTCATGTATATGAGTCATATATAAATAAAAAAGTGAAAACTTGTCTGTATATTCAAAAATGTAAAAATATTTAACAAATTTTATATCTATATTCAAAAATGTAAAAATATTTAACAAATTTTATACCTGAGAAAGGAAATGCAAACAAGTGTACTGTAAAACACAGGTTAGTAAAAAAAAAGAAAATTTATTCTACACCAAATTTATTTATTTCAATAACCAACGACTAATTCATTGCAGTGTAAATTTTTAGAGAGTTTACTAAAAGAATGGAATATCGTTATTTAATTCATAAAACCCTTATTGTTAAAATTGAAGATTCAAATAAACGTCGTTTCGATTTCAAAACAAAAGAGGCGTTCGAGTTCCTGAAACGCCATCTTCGACCGAGCGAACGTGCACGCTCTGCAGTCGCACGTCTACAAGTCTTTTGCACATCTATGCTTTGCGACTATAGGAGTTCGGAGAGGGAGTTGTCAATTGTCATTGCGATAGTTCATTTCCATCGTGGCGATTGCTGGAAGAAGACATCGAGACGTCGTCGAACACGGACGAGCGGGCCTGACCCTTCGCTGCCTGTGGAGTAGGTGCGACCTGCGAGTCACCTGGTACGTTGCACTTGTGCTAATTATATTTCTCTTTGCGGATTCACTCGGATTGCATTTCGTGTTTTGAGATGTTTTAGATTTAATTGAAACCTTTCCTCATTTTTGTTTTTTTTTGAAAACGTGTGCTCGATTTATGTAGTTTTTGCTCAAGTCGTACTACTGTCTAAGACGTACGCCGGACATATTTTATCTAATTATTTTATTTTGCATCATTTGGTGCCCACTGTTAAATAAAACTACATATTATTATTTTGTTGACTGGGCAAGAGTTCACAATTGAATGGCTGGCGGTCATTGTGCAGAAGAAATAATCGAAAGTAATAGTAAAAAGTTGTGAAAGTAAAAAATGACTGTTAATTCATTTTGTGAATTACTATGAGTACATTTATACGGATCGTTTAATTTGAAGTCTTATTTACATCATTATCATCTGCTAATTCACTTCAATTTATATATCAGAAGTATTGTGTAAATTGGACCACAATCATAATGTCATCAAGAATTTTAAAGCAAAATAAGTTTTCAAAATCAGTTGAAAAAAAGTTACAATTTGAACAACAAATTGACAAAGAATAGTTACAATTTGAATGAATATTTGAATATTTGGTGACGCATCAACAATGACATTTAATAATGTATGTATAATCAACTAAATTCAATAATAATTTGTGTATTTTGCAGGTGCGGGTAGGTTTGCGTTTGCTGCTACCAGAGTCCTTCAGTTTTTATACGAACATTGTTATTGTGACGCTCTGAATGTGGTATTTATTGGAATTGCATTTGGCACGAATAGATTTATTAAGCGGTGATTTTGTTTAAGATATTAATTGATCAATACTTTAGTTGTCACTATAACTTTTAGAAATTTACAAAATCATTAAGGCATTGAATTTCATGATTCGAATGATCACGATATGTCTTGCATGTGGGTTAATTTATTAGTTAGGTAGCATCAGTAGTTTTAATATTAATAATAACAAATACTAATTCACTAATCTATTCAACTATTGAATAATAATGTGGTCGTTTGAATCATTTGAGATTATGCAATGTGGATTTGACATATTACATTAAATTTTAATTTTCACTGTTTGAAATTCATGTTAATGCATTTCATATAAAACCAAGTGCAATTCTTAAACTGCTAGTAAATTTCTACATTCTATTTCTGGTCATCAAGATGAAATCACAATGGAGGCCACAAAAATCATATCAAGCAAATTGTTGAGAATCGAATGGCCAAGTATCGAGTGAAAATTGAACACTGACTCACTTCACCGGGAATCGCTCTGAAAATAATTCAAAAAGTACGTTTTTATCGATAATCAGTATAAATGTGAACAATAAACAATGTTTATTTTTTTCAGTTTCTTTCTACTACTGCTGCTCTGTACACTGACCCCTTCACCAGGAATCGCTCTGAATATAATTCAAAAAGTACGTTTTTATCCATAATCAGTATAAATGTGAACAATAAATAACATGTTTATTTTTTTTCAGGTACTTTCAACCACTGCTGCTCTGCACACTGACCCCTTCACCAGGAATCGCTCTGAAAATAATTTAAAAAGTACGTTTTTATCCACAATCAGTATAAATGTGAACATAAATAACATGTTTATTTTTTTTCAGGTCCTTTCAACTACTGCTGCTCTGCACACTGACCCCTTCACCAGGAATCGCTCTGAAAATAATTTAAAAAGTACGTTTTTATCCATAATCAGTATAAATGTGAACAATAAATAACATGTTTATTTTTTCCAGGTCCTTTCAACTACTGCTGCTCTGCACACTGACCCCTCACCAGGAATCGCTCTGAAAATAATTTAAAAAGTACGTTTTTATCCATAATCAGTATAAATGTGAACAATAAATAACATTTTTATTTTTTCCAGGTACTTTCAACCACTGCTGCTCTGCACGCTGACTCACTTCACCAGGAATCTTTCCAGAAACATGTTACCAGGTATGTCTTTAACCATATCAGTATAAATGCAAACATTCCTATATTGTTTTTTCTTTTTTGCAGATCTTCTCGATCCAACTATTACTGCCCTGAAGCCTTAAAATCAAGAACACTCATTCATGTGAATGGCTCGCAAGTGGTTTTTTTCAATGACTGTCTATAATTATGCATGATTAACTTAACTCTTATTAACTCAATAACATGACTAACCTCACTAACTTAATTAGGCAGTTAATATAAAAACCACTTGTTGAGTTTTACTATGAAGGTCTTAATGGGGTTACGTGGAAGACACCGCTGCATGATTAATCAGGTAATTTATTCTTTATAGTATATTTTATGAACCTTGTTACTAATTCATTGTTTTCGTTTATAGAGTAAACAACTTCAAGCCAAGTGCTCTTCAACGCTCAAGTTGCTCATGAGTGAAAACAATCATTTGATCTACTAATTATGCTGTCCGTCCGTCCGTCCGTCCGTCCGTCCGTCTCTTCACCAGAGAAGATGCCTACTATGATTTATTAAATAGTTAAGTGCTTAGATGTTAATGAAATAATGAATAAATATATTGTATTTAATTTAATTTGTTGTTTTAATTTAATTATGAGCCACTTTACGGCCAAATCACATTATGCTGTAACGTAAATTACAGAAATATTTAAACATGTCTACATTTTAAAAATTTCTTGTGTTATTAATAGGGATACTTATTGAGTGCACTCTTTAATGTAGTCAATTGTGTAGAACAGTTTCTTCACTGTTTGGGTGTTTTCAAACATCTTGCCGCATCTTGGTTAAGCTCTTTATACCTTTGCTTTGATTCGGTAGAACTCTGCGTCATTGCTTTGACTCGATAGAAACGCGTTGACAATAGACTTTGCTTTTTTCCAAACCCTTATGTTAGTCGAGTGCCTTAAACATTTAATGTGTCAAACCGATGTTTTCTCTTGTTTAAATATTATACTTTCTATTATTTCTTTAAATGGTGCACTTTTTTTTCTTATTGTTAGCTATAATATCACTTAATTTAATATATTACTGTTTCTATTATATATACTATACTATATATATATATATATATATACTCGTATATATATATATATACATACATTAGACAAATGTTAATGTATTTTAGTCATTTTCATTACTGTAATGTATGAATAAATTAATATAATCTAATTGTATTTTAAATACTGTAATACATTGATTGGAAGTTTTGAATAAAACTAACTGAACTTTATTTGGAGTGTTTCATTTCACACAATTTCAGTGAATATGTTAGAAACACACCGTATAGGGTATAGGTATTATAAACATTAATATATTTGTTGATGTTATCATAAACATTAATATACTTATTAATTCGTTTTTCGGCGAGGATTTATTATTTTGAATAATTTCATAAAATACATTACAATTTTTGTAATCTAATTCCATTATGATCAATGCAGTAATAAGTTATGACTTTGATCATTTCAAATAGACTAATCTATGGTTATTCACTCATTTCAAA